TATTTTATTTTATTTTATTTTTTTGCGACAGAGTCTCCCCTGTATTCCAGGCTGGCCTTAAACTCACTATGTAGCCTAGGCTGGCCAGACTCACGGCGAGCTTCCTACCTCAGGCTCCAGAGTGCTGGGATGACAGCCCTGCACCAAAACACCCAGCTCTGGGTACAACCACTTTGGAAAACGCTTGGTGGCATCTACCAAAGCTAAGCATGCCTACTCCATACTGCATTCCCAAAAAACATGCATGCACACTGCGGCACCTTCATTCATAAGAGCCAAAAACTAGACATAATTCACATGTCCACCAATAGGAGAATGGATGGGTAAATTGTTAATTCAGTCATCTCTAAATATCCATAGGAAATGGGTTCCAAGACTCCCTGTGGAAACCCAAATCCTCAGATGCTCAAGTGTCTTACAAAAAATGATGTAATGTTTGCATATAACCTATACACTTCTTCTCATAGACTTGAAACTATCTTTAAATTATGTATGGTGCCTAATAAAACACAAATGCTATGTAAATGCATGCTATATTGTTTAGGGGATAACGACAAGGAAAAAGCCTGCACATTCAAAATGTTAAACAGTATTTTCAAACTGAAGTTGGCTGAATCTGCAGATGTGAACTCACAAATATGAAGGGCTGGCTGTATTCAAACAACACAGCAGTGAAAAAGAATAAACTACTGCTACGTGCCGCAACATGGATGGATCCCACAGACACAAAATAAGCAAGACACAAAGACATCCTGCTACCCAGACCTGTTCATATGCACACACAAAACTTATCTTCAGTGCTGCCTGGAGAGGGAATGTGAGAGCCCTCTAGGGTGATGAAAATATTCTATGCACTCACCTAATTATACACATTTATAAAAGTCCATTGATAAATGCACTTCAGATTTATGTACTGTTATGGCTTATATCTAAATGTCCCCCCAAAACTTCATTTGCTCATAGGCAGGATTTTTCGGTGGTGGCTGGATCTAAGGTATATGGATGCAGATAAAGGGTATGTGAATATAGATTAAGGGTGTGATTAGTCCACTGATTGGTCTAGCACAGTTCTGGGTGTGGATAATGGGAAGGTCCATGCTGGGTATGGGTGGCACCACGCAAAAGGCTCACAGCCTGGATGGGATAAAAGAGAAAGGGCTGCTTGCTGCTTTCTGCCTGTCTTGCTAGGGACTGTTTCTTCTCTGTGATGGCCCTCTGTCACTCCACCTTGCTTTGGAGCCAGCAAACTATGGACTGAAACCTCTTCAAACTCTGAGTTGAAATAAACCTTTCCTCCTTTAACTTCGGGTATCAGGTATTTTTGCCTCAGCAATGAGAGAAGTAATTAAGATATGTCTCAAACCATATAGAAGATACACCCGTATCACAAAGAATAAATAAGTAAAACATATGAGGGAGCCACCTGAAATGTGATGTTTTCATCTACAACTCTTTCCTCCCTCTCCCTCAAGCTGAGAGATGGCAGAACAACGCTTCCCTGTACACCCTCTCCAGGAGCAGGCTATTTTGCTTCTGACAGGCAAGGCCTTAACAGGTACCTTCCCTCTTGCAGACAGCCTGTGCCCACTGGGAAGCAGGGCCCCACTGAGACACATGGGTATTCAGGGCAGCAAATCATCCTACCTAAGCAATAACCTCTAGAAATATTTTCATCTGTGCATTGTGTGGTGGGAGAGCCAGAAAGGCAGACCACTGCTGGTAGATCCTGCTTTTCCCTTTTTTCTCTTTGGCAATTCTGCTCTGGCCCTAAACTTTTTCTCTCCACCCAGCAAGACAGCACATGTGTGTGGACCTGACTGTTGATACCATGTTCAGTGATGTCCCTCAAAAGTTCATGTTCACCTAGAACCTCTGAATGTGACCATTTGAAACTAGATTCTTTGGAGATGTAATTAGTTAAATTAAGATAAGGTCTTACTGGATGGGGAAACCCTAATCCAATGGTGTCCTTATCAAAACACACACACACACACACACACACGGAAGAAGGCCTATAAAGAAAGAAAATAGAGCAGAGATTGAATCCATGCTGACAAAAGTCAAGGAACACCTGAGCCGCCACTGTATGTCAGAGCTGCCAGGGTAAGTAAATATGCACCCTTTTAGGAAAATATTTCAAAGCCCAGGACCGCCGAAGGCTGCTCCTCGCAGGCTTCTCAGAGGTCCTCCCAACACCCACTCAGAGTTTCAGAAAACGTCTCCCAATTAGATGTGTTCTGATAGACACCATTCTCACATCTTGCTTTATTTCCTTTTTTTTTTTTTTTTTTTTTTTTTTTTGTTTTTTTTTTTTTTTTTTTTTTTTTTTTTTTTTTTTTTTATACCGGGGATTGAACTCAGAACCTTGCACTTGCAAGGCAGGTGGAGGAACCACTGAGCTAAATCCCTGGCTCTTGCTTTGCTATGAAATATTTTAATGCCCTTAGCTTATGGGGTGACTGCCCTGCTGAACCTCTCTTCTGGCAAGTCCAGAACCCACATGTGGGAGACAAGTAGGCACATGGAAGTCACTCTGTCCCTGTCAGTTATGGGATGCACCCCTGCCCCACCTGCCAAAGCTCCCAGCTACGACTCTCACAAGCCCTGGGGTCACCTCAATAACTACATTAGCTACCACCATCAGACAGGATCAGATGCTGGGGCCAGCCACTTCCCTTGGAAGGTTCTCAGATGAGAAGCCAAAACTAAGGTGCACCCTGTACTCCTCCCAGGCCAGTGGCTGACACTGGGCCAGGGCATGAGGTCACTCACTGGGTCCTTATTCTCCTGGTCTGTCCTAGTCTCTCTGATATCCCCGTTGTAGGTTGCGGTGCGCTGGTCCTCAGCTGAACTCCGCTGCTGCCACAGTATGGCCTCTCCTTCATACTCCTTCCTGTACAGGTTGGTCCTGTCCGATAGGCTGGCTCGACGTACCACCTTCCTGAGAGGACAGAGTGGGAGCTGGAGGCCTGTGCCCAGGCACTACAGCGGATACAGGCAGGGGGAACCCTGGATTCTCTGTCCCTGACTCACCCACGGCTTCCTGCACTTGACGTCCTCCGGCTCAGGGACGACTTGTGCCTCAGCTGTGACTTCATGATCACATCATGCTTGTGTTTGAGCTCCAGCAGGAGGACCTTGAACTCCTCCTCCTCACACAGGTCTGAGGGACAGAGAAGTCATTCGTGGGGGCAGGGTAGGGGCCTGTGACCCAGAGGGGGCTCTATTCCAGAGGAGCCATCACTCCAACCCACTGGGAGTTTGAAGAATCTCTGGAGGCACACAGGGTGGGGAGAAGATGCCAGCTTTATTTTCTGGCTGCCAGCACATCCTTATAGGAGTGTGAGAATAGGAAACCCAGATTCCATGCAGTTACAATACTCAAGGTCCCCAGCTGGGACCAAGAGATTCATGTTCCTCTTTGACAGTTTTGGGGGGAATCATTTAGTCTTAAGCACAAGACACAGAGGGAGTGAGTGGCAGGGAAGGGGCAGGGGAAGTAAAAAGAATTGAAATTTTTAATGTTCATGTACAACTCCCCACGGTGAATGTAATCATTATGTACTATAAACATGTAATAGCAAAAATTAAAAATAAATATGTAAAAAGTCTCAAGTGAAACAAGTGAGTACCCCATTCATGTAGCCCAAGCAAGAGGTTGAGAAAGCACACAACCAGTCCACCACTATCCAGCCATGTACCCATCCACTTATCCCTTCACCTGTCAGAAGGTTACTGAGTGCCGGTGTACATACGAGGCACAGTGCTGGACTTACCTATTGGCATCTCATCCATGGATGTCCTGGCACTGAGACTAGCCCCATGGGACACCAACAGCTCTGCCATCTGCATCTGAAACACAAGAAGCCCATGTTCCTTCAGCAAAGGTTCAGAAAGCCTAGGAGGCAGATAGAGTGCTCAAGCCCTAGAAGCTGTTGTTTGTTTGGTTTTTCATACTGGGAATTGAACCAGGGGTCTTACGTATGCTTGGAAAACACTCTACTGCTAAGCTCTATCCCCAGACCCAAAGGTTTATTGTGCTGTTTTGTTCTGTTTAGAGACAAGATCCTTACTATGTTGCTCAGGCTGGCATTGAACTCATGACTCTCCTAACTCAGCTTCCCAAGTAGCTGGGATTCCAGACATGCATGGGACTTGGCTTCAAAGCCTCTTAGAATGTGAACTAAAGAATGGTGGGACAAAATTGGTTCCCAAGGACTATCTTGCACCCTAAAGACATAGGGGAATTCTGGAAGATACAATGGGCTTGGGCACACTAAGGGGGCTGAGAAGGACTTGGCCATGATTCTAGAGCAGCTAGGTATTTAAGGAGGGGGACTGTGCAAGCTGTAATTATACATGGGAAACAAATGGAGAAACTTCTCAAACAGAAATGCTGGGAAGTTTCTAATTTGACAAATCTGATCACCATCCCTTTTTTTTCTCATTGAGTTTATTGGTACATTTTAGGTATACAGTACAGTTACATTCATCATTGGGATCTTGTACCTTTACAGGACAGGTCTTGGTTCTCATTTTTTCCCCTTATCCCTGCCCTCCCTTCACCCCCTCCTCCCCTCCCCACTTACAAACACTTTATTTCCATTTTTTCATTTTCTCCTATTTTTTCTTTCCCTTATTACCTTTCTCCTACCCTTCCCACTTTCCCTACACCTTTAGTCCTTTTCTTCTTATTTCACATTAACCAGCATGTTTTGATTACCTGTTGTGTGTAAACTGCTGTTAAGGACCAGGGATGCCTTCACGATCACCATCCCTTTAAGACACAACTACTAAAACATTTTTTTCAAACTCCCCAAGGCTTTTCATGTCCCACATGCTCACTACAGTCAATACCCTAAGTACTGTGTTCTTTTGAACCAAATGCCAACCCAAGGGCTTGGTGACAGCAGGACAACCCTGTGCTGGCCTCCCTTGCAGCCCTACCTGTCCCCAGAAGGCAGCAGCATGCAGGGGCTCCCAGCCATCCCAGTCCTTCACATCTACACGCACACCATGGTCCAGGAGGAGCTCAGCTGCCCGCAGGTATCCATTAGCTCCAGCTATGTGCAGCTGGAACAGAGGGAAAAAAAAGTGAGCATTCCCCAGGGGGATGGTTCCACCCCTGGAGTCAGGATATCCTTCACCCCTACTCAAATCCCTGAGCATTCTTGGGGCCAGCAGAATAAAAGAGAATGAGATAGAAACACCAGCCAAGTTGCAGGGAATCACTGAGTCTAAAATATCAAGCTAGAAGGAAAGGCAGCAAGGTGAGGGGTTCTACCCTGTGGTTCCCCTACTGTGTGTTGAGCCCTGGGGAAGGGGTCCTAGATGTCTAATATGGCAGTCTAAAAATGTGTCTACAAGTATTTGACACATCTGTCTTTAAAAGTTGGACCCTGATGCACTCCCTTAAATACAGACCAGACTAAATGACGGGCTTCTCACAAACAAGAGAGTATAAAGTGTGTGACTTCTGAGGCTAGTACACAAAAGGCATCGCTACTTCTACTTATGCTCTCTTGGATCAACCAGTCTAGGAGGAGGCAGCCACCATGTTGTGAGGACCGTCAAAGAGCACTAGAGAGGTCCACGGAAGGCAAGAAACTGAGTCCTCCAGCTAACCACGAGCACTAACTTGCCAGGTATATTACCTCGGAGGGAGGGAGCCACTCAGAGGGGACCCTCCAGCTCACATCAAGACTTCAGGTGCGACTGTTGTCCAGCCAACATCTTCACTGCAACCTCCTGGAAGATGCCAAGCCAGAGCCACCCAGCTGAGCAATGCCTAGTGCCCTGACCCACAGAAGCTATTTGAGACACTATTTATTATTAAGATGTTACATTGTGAGGGTATTTTGTTATGAAGCAATAGAAAACTGATACACCCAATAAAAGAAAGCCCCATGTTGAGGCCCCAACTCTGGTACCTAGCACCAGTCAAGGCCACCAGTCATGGCCAATGCCTAGCAGGCTTCAGTTGTTCCACTTGTTCAATTGCCCCAAAAATGTCTCTTCTCAGCTTTTTGGCCAAGAGCAAGTACGACACCCCCCCCAATCACATAAAGTGCTTGGCACAGGATGAACACTCAGTAAATGAGCCACACCTTCAAGACCCCTACTCAATGACAAAGTACGCCATGAAAATGAACGTGGGAGAAGGTGACGAGGCAGAGAAATGAAATGTCCAGCCACAGCGGGAGACAAAGGTCACAGTCCAAGACAGCAGTTGGAGACCAGCTGGGAGAAGCCAGAGAACTCCAGAGGTCTGAGGTTTGGGACAGCACAGTCAGAGAGACAGAGAAGGCATGGCCTCAGGAAGTGACTTAGCAGAACAGGACACAGCTCTCATGCTCAGATGTTCGCTCAGCTGACTGAAGGCTGCAGCAGTTCTAGCAAATGAAGATTTTCCTTTTTTTTTTAATTTTTAGAATAAATCGAAGGTGTGATATGGTAAATAGCACATGAAAATTGGTATAATTATCTGCTTTATAGAAGACTGATGCTTGCCAGTCTTGAAGAATGACACCTAGTTGCCAGCCAGATACTGCAAGCCATGGAGTCTTAGTAGTTGGCCGGAGAAAAGAAGCCTGAGTAGGATAGTGATATTGTTAGTAAGAATAATGATCATGGCTAACAGCTGCTGTTTAGAGACTCTCTGCCCTTACATGCAGAAACATATTTAACCCTCCCAACAGGCCTGTGGGGGATATATTCTTGTTTCCAGGTATTCTCCAGTTTACAGGAAGACCTGAGACCCACATGGGTGCTTGTTCCAAGTGGGTGGCTCCCCTGAGGCCAGCAGCATTTAGTTTTACTCTTGACCTCCTCCCTTATTTTTGCAGTACTAAGGACTGAACCCAGGGTCTTTGCACTGAGCTACATCTCCAACCCTTTCTGATTTATTTATTTATATTATTTAATTATTTATTATTAAACAGAGTCTTGCTAAGCTGCTAAACTGCCTAGGCAGGGATCCTCCTGCTTCAGCCTCCCAGAAGCTGGGATTATACCCAGCATAAATCACCATGCCCAGCTTCCTGACCTCATTCTTAAGGGTGGGATAAACAAGTATTCCAAGTAGGGACCCAGGAAATAGAAATGGGCATAAAGCATAGGTCAGAGCTCAAGAGCCAGGTCAAGGGAACCCCTGTTACTGTACCAGGGCCACAAGGTCAGTCCTGAAGAGGGTAACGAATATGGAATTGCTGTGCCCTGCATGCTGAGCTTAAGGCCCTGAGATGCCTGGCCAGCATGGAGCCTAAGCCTAAGCAGCCACCTTGAGGGGTGGGATCCCAACCTCACCATGCTTCTGTTTTCATTGCAGAGGCTGCAGAAACAGACCCTGCCCCATAACGAGCTGCAGTGTGCTAGGAGAACCTAGCAAGCAATGCCAGAGAGGTTTGCCCAAGTCACTGACACTTGGGGTGCAAAAATGAGTGAAGTTAACCAGGCAGATTTGAGAAGGAAGAAGGCTCCATTGTTCTGTCTCCAGGGTCCCAAAAGTGTATGTCACAAAGCAAGTGTTTCATATGACTATATGTTAACTGGATGGATGGACTGGATGGACAGACAGATGGGTCGACAGATAAATGAATGGGTGGGGAATAGTTGAACGGATGAACTCTGAAGTCAGGGAGCTCAGAGGGAAGGTTTCTGAAGCAATATCAAGTAGAGGTGATGAGGCAAGGCAGTAGGAGTGGGAGAAAGGTAACCAGGCAGGGAATGGATATTGCAAAGCCAGCTGGCATGGAGGAGGGGTAAACAGTGGAACCAGTCCCTGAGGAAAGACATGACTGGAGGAAGGGGAAACAGCATCCAAGATGGGTATGATCTTGGAGATGGAACAGGTGGACAACAGAGCCAAGCCTCCCATAGAGGAGTACCAACTCTCAGCCCCAAGTGAGAGTGGCCAGGGCTCCCAAAAGATTGTGCCTTATTCTGCTAACCTTCCATATTCCAGCAGCGACCCTGGCCCCAAAGGGATCTGGAGGAGGTCCAAGGACAGGGACACCCTAACTGTATTAGCCTGGCCCCCACCCAGGGCTGCTCCACCTCAGCCCTAGCTGCTCTTGGTTCTAGTAGTTGCCCCCAGCTCAAACCAGCTGTCTCATCTCCTCACCAGTGTGGCACCCTGGGCATCTATCCAGTCAAGATCCTGGCCCGCTGCAATCATACAGTGGATATCTGTGATCATCTGCTGCTCTGGAGCAGCCCGCATCTCATTGATTTTCTCTTGGGTGATGCCTGCGGTGGGAAAGAGAGGATTTGTTTAGCATTCTCAGGCCTAAGTCCTGACAGAGAGAAGAGCAGATGGGGGAGGCATGGCTCCAGCCTGCCAGCCAAGGGGAACCTAGGTCATTGTCTCCCCGGTCTGACAAACACAAGCACCATGCATCAATCCACAGATTGAGGAGCAATCCTGCCTGGCACCCACTAGGCACTGTGTTAATCCCGGTCACTCATGTGAGTGCTGCTCTCCTACCTAGAAGCCCCAGCTAGCTACCCACCCACCTCCAGCTGCTCCAGTGGCTCGCATCACCTCCCCACCTGGCCTCTGCTGGCCACCTCAGTCTCTCTTGGTTTCCTTTAGCTGCTCCATGCTTGGGTTTGCAGAGCTGGGCACAATACTCAATGCATTTTTGTTGCAAAAATTACTGAATAAATGGATATCTTACTTTCAAATGAAGAGCTGAGTAAATTGAGGGAGAGGGTCCCACAAAGACATTTTATAACCTTAATCCCTGGTTACAAAGTGTAGCTATTACTGGTAGCTAGTAATGGTATTTAAGGAGAGGGTGATATGCTCTATAAAAAGGTCCATTAGATCAAGCACCCTTGAACAGAATTTAGGGAAGGTTTATAAACTTTAAAGGAGAAAAACGACATACTGGTACATGTTTATTATCTGGACACTAAATGAAATTTAGTGTTTCCCACCACCGGAATGTAAGCTCTATAAAAAGGTCCATTAGATCAAGCACCCTTGAACAGAATTTAGGGAAGGTTTATAAACTTTATAGGAGAAAAACGACATACTGGTACATGTTTATCTGGACACTAAATGAAATTTAGTGTTTCCCACCACCGGAATGTAAGTAAAACCTACAGTGGTATTAGCAATGCCTGTGAATTTATCACTAACCAATACTCTAGATATTTTCCTTTTGTGTCATCTAATTGTTTCATGACTTAATGAAGTTTCTAATACATATAAACATTTTGATAGAGCTGTTTAAATATCATGTGGCATTCTTTATACTCCTATCATTTTAAAACTAGATTGAAAAACACCTGAGAAGGGGTCCATAGATTCACCAGATTGGCACAAAATTGTTAGGAACCTCAGCAGAAATGCTTAAGTACCAGGGGACAAGGAGCCCAAGTGATGGTGATCACAGCAATCTTGAGTGGGAGGGAGACGCAAAGCATGGGCGAGGGCAGGACCTCAGGGTGCAGCTGAAGGCCTGAACTTGGGACCTATTAAGGAGGAGGTGCTTCACAGGCATGACTGTGGGACACTGGGGCATGCGGGTCTCTCGCGGCTATGTTTCCTCTCTGAACCTCGTTTTGAGCTGAGAACAGCCTACATCTTGTTTATTTGGGCCTCTGGCAGTGAGTTTGTTGCCTGGCACACAGCAGCACTGGAGAATGTTCTTGACTTTTTACTATTTTCCCAAATAGGAATATATCTCTTTATGGTGAATGTTTATTGAATTGAATCGTCACAGCTGACACAGAGGAGACAGGGCCAGCTGAGGCCGCCTGCATGTGTGGGTGACCGAGATGAGAACAACACTTCCTTTCTGCATAGCATGTTTTCCAGGGCCCTTTCACGTCCTTGTTAATCTTGCTAATCACACAGATAATGACAATAATGTGGACCTATCCCATTTATGGGGGCTGAATACCAGGCAGGGAGGCACGTAGCTAGCCATTGTGACACTCACTGCATTCTTTTGAGTGATACCGCAATGCCGTGCTACGCCCATTTTAAAGTGTGCTGCCCTCCCTTACCCTGGTACGCCATGCAGGTCTCGATGACATCCAGGGTGGGCTCATCCTCGCAGAGGTCATATGGCATGTTCCCATCAGAGTTGACAGCAAGCAAGTCAGCCCCACTGCAGACAGAGAGTCAGGGTGAGGGCTAGGTAGGGTGGCTAAGGCGGCTCTGGCTGTCTATGCCCTCTGGCTTCTCCCACAGCCCCAGCACACACCCCAGCATCCACGATCCCACCATGGTGCACCCCAGCCCATCAGCACGGTGGCTTCAGTACCCTGGGTCCCCAGGTTGGAAAATACAAAAGTCCCAAGAGCTGACCCAGAAGATCTCCCTCAGCTTCCTGCTCTGCGAAGCAGCAGGTGGGCAGTGAGGGGGCAGGTGTTAAAGTACTTCCTGGTGAAAATAATAAAATCAATATAGGGCTGGGATTTAGCTCAGTGGTGCCAACACCTGCCTCACAAGCACAAGGTCCCAAGTTTGATCCCTGGTACCAAAAAGAAAAAAAAAATCATAATCACAAAGCTAATATAAACAGCAGCAGCACTACTCTATAGACACTACTCGGAAATAAGCCAGCACTAGGCCCCTGACACACATCACTTTACTCAATCCTCATGAGTCCCCATGGGTGGTGCTGTTGACCTCACTCTTTCAAGAGGAGACAAAGACTCAAACAGACTCCATCACACGTCTAAGGTCACAGCTTGGACTTGGCAGATTGAAGACTCAAACCCAGGTTATGTCAGCTCTTTTCACGCCACGTTCCATGTCAGTCAACCTTCACCTGAATGCAGATACATCTTTCCCCAAGTCCCCACCCAAATGCTGGCCAGGACAGAGGCAAAATAGACACTTGGAGCTCCCTAGAAGAATCTGCCATTTGGGCCAGTGATGCTGAAGCACGGCCAGGGGGTGCCCTGCAGCAGAAATACCTGGAGGTCACTGAAATACAGCACAGCTCCCCGAGCTTCTCTCCAGCCCTCCAGAAGCAGCCTCTGGAGTAGGTCCTGGGAATATATATTTTAAACCATCCTACCAGTGATTAGCATTAGAGACCTACTGAGACAGGGCAGCACCACTCCCTTTGTCCTCTGAGTACCACTGGTACCACTGCTGATCGCCTGTGGCTACCAGATGCTCCTGCAGAATTAACCACACTGGGGCTCTCATGAGAGGCAAAGCCAGGGGCCACCATCCTTTCCTCTAGCCGGACAGTCCTCCACCATGACTGCCCTGAGCTCTTGTGACCTTGGAAGCTAATCCACCTCTCAGAGCCAGGCCAGCAGTACTGTTACCTTTGTCCCTGCCTTTTGGAGCCACCCAGTGAGCTCCTTCTGCTCTGCCTGTATCTGTGATAAGATCACCTGCTCTCAGCCACTTCGCTTAACTCTCTGCACTCTTTGACTTCTAGGGACACAAGGCCACTGGTTTTGCTGCTCTGTCTCTGCTCTGTTCTCCCTTGGCTCCCCAGGACTTTCACATCTCATGTGTGTCCAGTGCCCAACACAGGGCCTAGCCTAGCTCAGACACTAACCAATTATTTACTGGATTCAGTTGCATATACATGAAACTGAAAACTGACTTTTCTCTGTGTTTACGGAATCCAAGAAATCTAACGAGAGTTTTGGAGAGTTTAAGGCCTTTGCCTTAAAGAAAAGCATGTGGAGAGGATTTGGGTTAAAACCAAGGAAGCACACTTGATTTTTTAAATAAACAAAAGCAGCAACAATGCATAAAAACAAAAACAACAGCAATAACAAATGGAGTAGCATAGATGAAGATAGGATTGTGAAAAAGGAGAGAAAAAGAGAACGATATACTGATATCAAGGCCAGAGAGAAAACACTATATAAAAAAGAAAACTGCACACCAATATCCTAAAGAACAGTGACACAAAGCTGGGTGTGTGGCGGTGCATGTTTATAGTTCCAGCACTTGGCAGGCTGAGACAAGAGGATCTCTGTGTGTTCAAAGCCAGTCTGGGCTACATAGTGAGTTCAAGGCCAGCCTGAGCTACATAGCGAGACGCTGTCTCAAAAGAGGAAAAAAAAAAAACTTCAACAAAATACGAGCAAACCAAATTCAGCAATGTATTAAAAAGATGCATATGCAAAGAATCCCACAAAAAACAAGTGGGATTTATTCCTGGGATGCAAGAATGATTTAACATACACATAAAAAATAATCAATGTCATTTACCACATTAACAAAATGGAGAGAAACTACATGATTATCTCAATTGATGTATAAAAAGCATTTGTCAGAATTTAACACTATTTCATGACAAAAAGCATTAAAAACCTTGAAAAATAAAAAGCTGGGCATGGTGGCGCACACCTGTAATCCTAGCACTTGGGAACCTGAGGCAGGCAGGAGGATTGCCATGAATTCAAGGCCAGCGTGGGTTACCTTGTGAGTTTATGGCCAGCCTGAAATACACAGTGAAACCCTATCTCAAAAAAACAAAACAAAACATAAAAACATAAAAAGGAAATGACCTTAAAAAAATCCACTTATGGAAAACACATCGCAAACATCTACAATAGTGAATGGCTGAACTCATTTCCTCTAAGATCAGAAATAAGGCAAGAATACCTGCTTTTTTTTTTTTTTTTTTT